GTAATACAAGCCTCAAAAATAAGTTGGGAAGTGACTCTTCTTATTTTCTGGAAGAGATGGTACTATTCTTTCTTAAATGTTTGGTAGAATTCCCACACTGAAACCACCTAAGCCGAGAGTTCTCTTTTTTGGAAAGTTTTTAACTGCAAATTTAATTTCTTTAAGAGATATGTGGCTATTCAGCTTATCTATTTCTTCTTGTGTGAGTTTTGGTAGTTTGTGCCTTTCAAGGAATTAGTCCATCTCATCTAAGTTATCAAATGCCTGGGAACTGAGTTGTTCACAGTAGTTCCTTATTATGTTTTTTAATGTCCATGAGATCAGTAGTGATACCCTCTTTTTCATTCCTGATATTGGTAATTTGTGTCTTCTACACTTTTCTTGGCCAGCCAGACTATAGGTTTATCAATTTTAGTGATCTTTTCAAAGAACCAGCTTTTGGGTTTATTGATTTTCTCTATTTTTGTTTTTTCTGTTTTTAGTTTCATTGATTTACACTCTAACCGTTAGACTTTCCTCTGTGTACTGCTTTATCTGCATCCCCCAAATTTTAGTTTTCATTTTCATTTAATTCAACATTATTTCACCCTGTTGACTATATCCTGACTCTTATAACTCTTTGCATCTTTGAATACTGTGATACTCCTTCCTTATGGATCTTCACACATTTTTACCCTTCCTGCTGAATCTTTTACTGGATTCTCATCTACAAACCCTATGATTCTTTTTTTAGTGTTAACTCTACATGTTATCCATGGTTGAGCTCATCTATTTCCTGATTTCAAATGACACTGATATTCATTTATTCAATCATTCATTCATCTATCCATCCAACCATCCATTCAGTCACTGAGTACCAATTACGAGTCCAGTACTGGCCTACTTGTCAGGGTTACAACTGTGAACAATACACATAATGGTTCTGTAAATGTATGGTAAAGGAAAGTACAAGGTGCTTATGGGAGCACATAGCAGGAAAACCTATACAGAGGTGATATTTAAAATAACAACATTGGTCACTGACATCAGAGTTCCATAGGGCCTTTTTTATGTCAGACGTGAACCCTTTAGTTTCCCTTTCATGGGAAAGTGCTGAGAATCCTAGAAGAGAAGCTGGGAAAGCCAAGATGTTAGGAGTCGCTCAGGGGCTGAAGGCAATGATTATTCACCAACCAATGTTCTAGTATTTTCACAACTACTGCTCCTGTTCTGGTGGCAGTGGCCAAGTATCAGACCTGCACTCAACCTAATCAAGTTTGCAGTAAATGACTGATATTTAAGTGTCCTAAATCATCTCAAATAGCACTTAAGTGTTTAAGTGCTATTTGAGACATTTAAGTGTCTTAAAATATAAATAAAAGATAGCCAGGTACAGAGGAGAGGAAACAGTTCTAGGCAGAGTGAAGTGCAAAAGCCTGCAAGTAGAAAGAAGACATGTCTAAAGAAGTGAGACTTCAGAAAAGCTACACATTGAAAGGAATGGGATGAGAAATAAGGAAGGAGAGGATATTTTACAAATGAAAGACCCGATAAACCAGAAAGTTTGAGTTTTATTCTAAGGTCATTGGAATGCCATCCAAGAAGGGTTTTAATCTGATCCGATTCGCATTTTAGAAAAACCACTACAGCTACAGTGCAGAGAACAGAAGGAAGGCATGCAAGAATAGAGGAGAGATCATTTAGAAGACCACTGTGATACATGCCAAATCCTTTATTTTCATATCATGTTTTATATCCTAAATATGTATGGTTTAGGGTATAAACCACACATACATACATACATATATACATACTGGATATCTTATCTTGGCATCTCAAACTCAACATGTCCAAAATTAAAATCATTACTGTAATTGTCTTCCTCCAAGATAGTTATGTCTTCATCTGTACCACTTCTGTACCTTGTAAATACTGCTCACATCACGCTAAGTCAGAATGATTTGTTTATACGTTTGCTCTCCCACCACACTCTGAGTTCCTCAGAAGCAGCACAGTGTCTGGCCCATAATGAGTGTTCAATAAATGTTCATTAAACTGCTCAACAGGTACAATTTTCTATGTTTAGAATAGCAGTGAGTTGTTTTTAAAAATGAATGGTTAAATTAAATTTAGGATACCCTGTTTGAGAAGACAGTGATTTGACATCTGAGCTCAAAACCATTTGCACAAAACGTTTCCAGTTAAATTTTTATTTTGTATGGGTATGTGTGTCATTGATGTTATTTCTGGATGGCAGGATTAAAAGTGGCTTTAATTTTCTACTTTATAAGCATCTGTATTGTCAAAATTTTCTACAATGAACAGGTTTACTGTAGCAGTGAGAAAAAATATAAAAAATGTATATTTTTGAAAGCAAATATACACATTTTAAAAAATCTAAAAAGATATCCACCAACTACTAATCAAAATTATATAAAGGTAACAAGATAACCAATAATTTTTCACTTTTTTATTTATGCTTTTCTGTATAGCTTCAATGTTTTAAAACGGACATGTATCACTTATAATCAGATTAATTATTCAAGACAGAGTGATGAGTATTATGCATTTGAGAAAAGTTTCCATAGAAAGTATTTGATTTTAAGTGACAGACTGGCAAGAAACAATTTCAACACACATGGAAAAAATCTAATTTTCTTTTTTTTTTTTT